CAAGTTATATTAGTTTCAGAATTACATGTTGAACTACCTATTAAATTTTTTCATTTATGTTTAATGACCTTCATGTATTTTCAGCCATTAGAAAGACATTAATAAAAACGTCGGCAATTCTACAAATTTAAACAATTGATTTTGGTATCCTTTTCCCATTACCTTTTATCCCAGATCGAAGGACATTAAAAATACAAGTCGTTGTTTTATATATTCATTTAATTATTAAAATCCTTATAGAATTTAGTAGTAATGGACTTTAGTGGTTCTCATGTTGAAACATTCTGAAGATAGCAAATTATTATTCTTTATTTTTGATCATCGTATTCCACAATTGAACATAAATTCAGTATCAAAGGATTCCCATAATATAAGACACATTACACCTTCATGCCATGAACATAAGGAGCAGTCCTATCAAAAAATAAACTGAATTTCAAAGTATCAATCCACTCCTCATGCCAAGAAGACTCAATCTGATCCTGCAGTCTTGTTTTAGTTGCTTTATGAACCTGGTCCTCTAATTCAATACATTTCGAATTGAATGCTGACGTCTCCAGATAATAAGAGAAGTATGATGAGGGAATTCCATCACTGTAAGTGATAACAATTTCAGACGATTTTGCAAGCCATTCCATAATAGGTATGTTCCAATAGTCCCAAGAAATGAATTGAGCATCATTGGTAGTCATTCCATCGTCATCAGTAACATTAACTTTAATTGATGCCAGTAAAATACTGGTTGTGAACACATCAATTACATCCGAATTCTGCACATAGGTAAATTCAGAACTGGGTTTAGTTTCGATTATATACGGCTTTGAACCCAAACCTTCAGTTATCAAGTGCTTATCAAATGATTGACAATTTTCCAATTCCTTTGAATATAAACTACTCCCTTGTACTTGACTTGCCAGATATACAGATCCGAATATCGTTAATAACCCAGCTGTATAAGTAGCTGCTAAAATAAGCGAAACAGCTACAACACAATGGACAATTTTATTTATTTCTATACTCGCAGCAAGACTTTGTAGTTCAGTATAAGTAAAATGCCCTCTTGAACTGCCCTGTTTCAATGCAAGGCTTTGTTCAATCTCGTTCAACTTCTTCCAAAAAGTTAATTCACTCACATAAATCTTCCAATCCTGAAACTCAACTCATTAAATTTCAAGTTCTTGAACCAAAATAGTTTTCTTACTATAGCACAAAGGAAATCCTTCTCGAGACGAACCAACTCTTTGACAGTCATTCCTCCTGAAGCAGCCCATTCGTCTGTAAATACTTCATCGCTTTCACCATCATCAAATAAAAACTTACAGGATACCATCTACCAAAATGAAATGATAATTATTGGGCTAATCGGATTATTGCAAACTTTGTTACCAACCAAAGATATAAGAAATAGATCAGAAGGTGCGGTTCTGTCCAAATATTCTGGATTACAAGTTTTCAGTCTCTCCAAATAAAGCAAGGCCAGTACGAGGGAGCACGGTGAAACACAAGCATTACGGGAAATTTTTGCTGCTTCATCACAATGTAATCTTTCCAAAGACTTTCCGGTCTTAGCTTCAGAAAACAGTTCAGAGGCCAATTCTGAAAAATAAAAGATTTATGTGTGTATATGTTATCTATTTTAGAAGTACAGTATTAGAATATTCTGGGATATTGAAACCAAAAAATTTAGGAGCATGATTCTTGCAGAAAAAAACTGATTTTGTCTCCGTCAAAAATATTTGTACTACTGCAAAACATAANATACAAACTTCACAATTATAATTAGGGTCTTGATTTTCTAATAACTCACTTTAAATTGAAAGTACATAATTTAAAATACAATCAGCATCCAATTGATATGGGTACACATCATCCGAATCATTATATTTTTGTAAGCACACAAACTGTTTTTTAAAATTCGTTCCTTCGGAGTTCCTGTTCAGCAAAAGTGGTAATGACATCATCAAAGTTCAAAATTCGGGCCATAGAATTTTCGATGGATAGAATAGCCAAGGTGCTTAACCTATCTTGTCCCATAGAATTTATTGAATAAGTTTTAATCAATTTCAGTTTTGAAAATGATCGCTCGGCACTAGCCGTAGTCACAGGAATGATGATGAAGAAGAATATATTCATTGAAACAGGTAATCCTAATACACAATATTATATAAAACATATTACTAACATAGAAATTGAAAATAATTATATAAAAAAACTTCAAATGTAGATATAGTTCAAAATTGAAAATAAAGATTTTTAGTTTGAAAAACAACGACGTATACTATTAAAAATACATTGCAATATAGTAATAATACAAATGCAGTGCACACTTCAGGAAAGCTTGGAGATATAAAATGATTTTTTATTATTGATTAGTCAGCAAGTTCTCTTATAAAAGATGATGTTTCTATTCGGTGTCTTAAAGCGAATCGAAAACTGAGAATTTTCTTGGAAAACGAGATGGATATATCTTCTTTATATAGATGGACAAATGCTAAAGCCTTTTCCAATAAATTAGTATCGTTCAAATTCTGCAAAGTGGCAGGTTGCAAGACACTGAAATTGGAAACAATTTCATTCATTCCAAGGAAACGCCATTTCAGTGGTTTGAAGATTATGTCTAATACACGATAGGTAATGTTCAGTTTAAACAAGCTTCCAGGATCTTGGAGACGTTCATCCTCACAAATTTCATCAAAATGACGTTTCATTTTTCTCTGACGAGTTTTGGGAAATTCAGGTTTCATAGACCATTTCACTGCAATACTATTTGCTTCTGTTTTTAAATCTTCAAATTCATGTCGATACTTTTCAAGTTGTTCTAGACAGACTTGCAAACGCTTTGAAGCATTTGAAAGGTCTATGGCTTTAGACTGAAGTGCTTTAGAAACCGCGTCTATAGTTTGTAAGATTTTGCAATGGAAAACCAACAACATAATAACATTGTAGTTTTCTAGAAGCCGCGTCTATAATTTGTAAGGCTTTGCAAGTTTTTTCCAAATAATTTCAAAGAATTCGGAACCCATTATTTACTTCCTCCGCAATGCACAATGATTAGTCGCGATCCTTTGTTTGCAGGTATGTTAGGCGTACACATTCTCGAACCGTCAGTCCACCCTTTCGTAACTGTGTCTCGAGTATCATACCAAGTTTCGTCCAAATAGAAAATTTGTCGTTGTTCTTGTTTATATTTAGTTATTTGTTCTAAGTATTTGTTACGCAATTCTACTATTCTTCTGCTTTCCATAACTTCTTGGCGTTTGTTCATTATTTTAAATCTAAATCCTAATTTCTTTATACATTGAAACATACTCTCTGTGTTTTGATATTCAAATGCATCCGAATCTTATTCACTGGTATCTATTTTTCGCATTGTTCACCATCGCTATTGGAATCACTACACAGGAAAAAGTATGCGTTGTTATCACACTCGTTATTACTATTATTACTTGACCAAGGACGCCACATTTCAAACAGATAATAAAAATTTCAAGTAATATAACTGCATCAATATCGAATTCAACACTCAAATCACCATCAGTTCCTGAACGAAATGTATAAACATCCTCGCATTGTATTCGTCACCGTAACATGACTTCAATTTTAATTTTATGACTCTTCAGCCAATCATAAAACTCGGTTAGTAAAAATTATCCAATACGAACCGCCAAGTCTTCAGTCCACGTGGACTAGCTGGCAGCGGCATCATTTCTTTGTATTGGTTTTTTTGACCTTTGAGCTCGCCGATAGCTTTACCTATTCACAATACCGGTTACTTCGACTATACACAGCCGTTCAATCGCTTTCCAAATCCGAAGGACGGAATCCCGACCCGGCGGTTCGGAAGGGTATTCGCGGAGGATACACAAGATGCAGTCTAAGATCAAGTTGGCAAGACAACACCCATCTCGTTCCCAAAGTGTGATGGATTACAGAGCGGCCAACAGGCCTTTCACGCCCGCAGTGTGGCAAATAACCGGTACTGCGGCGTATCCATCACACTTCGAAGTCAAGGCGTGCGGCTGTCCACCGAAAAGCAATGCATTGATAGGGTACAAATGCTAGTGGCTGCTAAAAAGTCACAAGTTACGCGAGCGAGAAGCATCGCGAAAAACCTCAATTTTAGCGAGAAACATCGCTTATTTTAACAGTAGGTATCCGCGTGTTGTCGATAATCCGCCGACCATTGATCAGGTGGAAACCTAGAAGAACATGAGCACCCGCTGCCACTCAACTTAGACACTTCAGCCTTAATGCAGTTTTCAGTGGAGACCTTCGACAGCCTGAGATCAATGAACTACACAACCTGATAACCCCGGATGACGTTCGAAGAGCCTTCGTAGGTTCCAAAACCTCTGCTGTTCCCGGCCCAGATGAACTGAACATTTCTCAGTTATAAATACAAGTGTTATAAAAACATAGGAACTTTTCTCATTTTTCATACCTACCATGTAATAACGGCTACATCCATCAAATTACAAGTTGAGGTGTTTATAGATCAATGATTCAGAAGGCAGGTTAGGAGACCAGATTAATCGATGAGGGGTATGTAGAATTCGAGAATAACTTCAAAGTTGGAAAGACGAGTATTCTTTTTCCTTTGTATGGCAGTTGCTTCCTTCTCGGGCGCATTTGGCAAATTTCCTCCTGCCAACAGTTGACAGGAGTTTTCATGAGAGGGCGCAGCGGTCTTGCTCAAGGCATTGCTGCCACCCTCAGCCACAAATCATAGCTGTCCTCAAAGCCAACATAACCCATGCCATCGGTTAAATTCAGCATGATTTATGCGCTAGAGTCATGGAAAATTGGACGTTCCGGATGCACTATTATTATATTGTATTATTTGTATTAATTGTATTATTATTATATCAGAAAGCCTTGATTGCAAGTTTCCGTTTACTAAAATTTTTTTATTTGATCGAGCATTCCAGTGTCAATACTTTTTTACAATATATAATTTGTACCCATGATGTGAAAAGAGAAATGAAATTAAAAAAAATTATGATTATATATCTACGAATGCATTTATTATAAAATGTTGATAAATGAGCAAATTTGTACTTGTAGATCTTGATTATATATCTACAATTCCATGATAGCTTGAAACTTCCAACTATTGAAGGAAACTTGAGCTTGCCTGCATTACAACAAAAACACAAGATTTCTCAATTAATTACAAGTTTCAAATGATACCAATTAGTAAGCTGCCAATTAGTCTGAGAGATTTTACTTTTTTTTTCAATAAATTTTTTACTATAGGTATTTTAACCCTAAATAATTCGCGCCCCAAAAAATCAAGCGAGAACTCATATGTGAGATTTTCTCTTACACAACGATTACATCAAAGTTGTTTGATGTCATTTTTTTTTGGAAATGAAAAGAAAATATAGGTAATGTTGAAAGGTTTATTTTATACTTCGAACTAAAAGTAAAACTGCCAGTTTAGTGTAAACAACAAAAATAAACTTGTGCAACAAAGTGAACACAACAAAAAGGAGCACCATGTATATATCTTTCAAATTTAGCTCTAGATACAATCAGTGTTCTACTATAGTAGAACACTGTGTATATATAAAATAAATTCACTCACCGAAACAAGTTTACTTATTAAGAAACAATAATATACTACATAAGAACTCGCACAATGAAAGGCACTCTCAAAGAAGTCTGCAGATGGTTAACAAGTGCCTGATATCTAATATTAATTCACACTAAATATTGCACATACCCATGCATATCCACGAAGAGCTGTAAAAAGTCTGCTAGAAATGGGGGCAGCACTATAAGTGATTAACTGTTCATAGAATGTGCATATTATTAGCAGTTGTGAGAGAAACAAAGCTCGAATAGTGTGGAAGCTAAGGAAGGAATAATCATTTGATTTGTATAATTCTTTATTTTTCATGTGAGTAAAACCAAACATTCCCGAATATCATTAGAAAACTCATAGGAAAGTTAAATTTGTAGGAAAAGATCATAATGGGTTTGATTCCCATTTGAAAGAGATTATCTGTTTAATTGAATCTATTTGAAATATTTTTTGTGGTAATCTTATATTCAAGTTATATTAGTTTCAGAATTACGTTCCGCCTAAATTCCTGAACAGGATCCTCTTTCAGGACGACAATAATATGTACGAGGGTTGTTAGTTGTCACCAGTTGACCTACAAGATTCACTGTTTGGTATAAACCAGAAAATCTTGCCATACAAAATCAAGGTTAATAAAACTTCTTCTACTATTTCATTCATAATTAGCTCAGTGACCAGTATTTGAAAATTAGTCATTGCTTTAAGTACACCCCTGGTGAACCATAATTCCAACATATGTGTATAAGTACTTTATATCCTATAAGAAGTCATTCACCCACCTGTTACAGGCAAACTCAATGAGTCAGATTTGGATAGCTTTCCATAATATAGAGTTTTGGTTATTCTTGATAAATATTTCTTGTGATTCGTGATTGTCTGCAAAAACCAAAATTTTAGGTTATTTACTATATCTTCTATAATTAAGTGCATACCTTGTAGGGTCTATCCAAACACTTTTTATAAATTTTCGACATTTTCTACTGTTAGATTTGTTGAGAGTAGGTATGTTTTAATTTACTTTTCAATTGGAAAGATATACCATTGCATACACGTAAACTGTTAAGAAGAATACTTCTGTCGTAATTTAAAACAGTATACTTGTAAACTGTGGCTGAATTTCAATAAGTCGTAATTTTATTTTTAGTGTTTTCCATAACAGAACTAGAACTACTAGAAGTATCCTTGTATAGCACAGTCGTACACTGACACTACACGAGATCTGTCATTTTTCAATATTGGTGCAGCCCCGATGGAACATAAATTTCAGCACGTCACTCAACAACGAACTATACTATAACAGAAAAGATCAAAATCCAATCTACTGGCCTCTGGAATATAAAATAATATATTTTTTTATTACACAAAGTGGCATATTGAAAGGAATTATTGATATTTTGATCTAAATAATTATTTTAGAAATAAATAATCGTAACTTTTACATAAAATCAGAATAAACAGTAATACATCTTTGATAATTGAAGCATCACTTGCTGCAGTTCTGACCTAAAAATAGTCCAAGATACTTTTTATACAGTTCTTGCATTGTTGAAGACAACTATAGTATCAACTCAAAATACACTAGAAACTTGATAAGACAAATATATGTGACTAAAATCACTCAAATATTGTAATATTTTGCTCTTATCAAGTTTTTGATTAAATTTAAGTTTATGGAAATCATTTATGTGTGAGCCGGCTACTTTAGTTGTAGGTCTATCTCTGTGAATCAGATTAGAATAGAAAATATTGTATCTAAAGTAATCAATCTGTTTTTCCGTTAACCAGCTGTCGCACCCCTACGAACGACAACCCTCAGAAGTCGAAACTTGTGCGAGCTAAGGATTAACGAGGTCTTACCTTTTAACGTATGATTCCTAACACGGTCAATAGTTAATTCTCAAAAATAAAATTTCCTCAATAGTGAAAAAAACTTTTTACTCGGAATTCACTTCTGCCAACTCATCACTTCATCATTGAAAAGTTTTTATTACTTTTCACGAAAGATGAAAACCCTGGTATTCAAACCGATTCGCTTTCTTTTTGCTAGAAACTATCGACGCCAACAATAAGATTGACCAAAGATGCCTAAAAACCCTTATTTTTGACCGATTCGCTATTGTTTTCTCAAAATCTCTCGACGCGGGAAATGAGATTGACCCAACTTTGTACACATGTTGATAGATGGAAGAAAAATCGTTTTCAAAGGTAAACACTGGTGTGCGCTTAGCGCTCTATGTAAATGGAATGCCGAAGAACATTGGATCTGTTCGTTTTATGGAGAATCAAGACTGTCTTAGATCGAGTATTTTCGTCAAATTATTGTACATAGAGAGGGGTCTAACTGATTACACCATAATACTTATATGTATATTGTTTCCAAGTGTTTCAATTTCATCATCAATACTCGATGAAGACGATAAAAATAAATGATTTAACGTTTGCATTTTCATTTCATGTGCCTTCATCCTGCCTACTTCAATGAGTTCATACTGAAAATATGCTCTGAGTGCAATTCTCGCTTTTCAGGTTTTCCGATGGAAAATGTAAACTGACACTCGTTTTAACAATGAAATTTAATTATGCACTCGCTGGGCATTCCATTTATCAATGGAAAACACTAGTTAACCAAGCGGTTCACCAAAAATGGTGGACTGGTAAACAGTTCGGTTGCAGATGCACTTGAAAATTCGGGGTATTGTTCAAAATTAATGAAAATCTTGGTCGTGTGTTCTAAATGTACCCGCTGCAAGAAATGTAATGAATGTTCAAAAGCGAACACAAATATGAATGAACATCAGGAATGAAAAATGGGGACGCAAATGTTCACCATATTGGTTTAGTTTTTACGAAATATTGAAGGAAAATGTTACTAGATATTTTGTCACAATAAAACAGGTCACATATACAAAGCAAACCGTGCTGAACAAGAACAACATACATAAGACGAGTTCTCAAACTCACCGATGAGTCCATCGATCGATCCATCTATTGATTCTTTCGAAACTCGAGCATATTTCAATTATTTGAAGCACTTCATTTCTGTTGTATTTAAGAAATCACCTCAAGCTATCATCACAAAATATGAACGTGTATACCGAAAAAAATAGTATTCATTTTTTAGAACGCACGAATATTCACGAAAAGAGGCGAGCGTATCTGATTTTATTATGGCCGTCGCTCTATATAACTGACAATCGTTGTATATGTTTGTATATATTCCACATCAAACAAGAATAGAAAAGTCATCTATTGCTCTATTGTTGACGAACTCGGGAAGTAGCTCTCATAAACAATAAATAGGGGTTTAAATCATTTTTTCAGTTCCAAATTTTTTCTTATATGTGAATTCATTCATTCATTTTGTGAATTAAAAGTGAAAAAATAATTATGGAGTGTTTTACAAATCATTCTTAAATATGTATTTTAAGGAAATCTACCGAATTAGTTTCAAATCTACCGCTTTCAACATTTAACAGCACTCCTATCATCTGTCATTCTGTCATCTGAATGTCGTCTCAAGAAGTTTATTTTGATTGTTTGTTATATTGATATTCTACATCTATTTAATTCACCTGGAAATATATTATGTTCACCTCTAGGGCAGTATAAATGATTCACCATTTGAATAAGTTTTTTGTTAACAACCATCTTGAGTGTTTATTTTTCTTTTATTATGATTGGTTAGCAGTTTACAATTAAATAGAAATTGCCCTGAGAAAATTCAAATGTTTACAATTGTTTCAATGCAAATTTTCACATAGCACGTACGTCACACTATAATAATAGAACATCAAATGAACCCATCCAGTTATTAAATTAGTTTCCATGGACGTTTCAATGTAAGGTAAAGATCTCATTTTTTTTCATCATTGAAAAATTCATCAGGAGCTTTAAATAGGTTTTCATGGGCAATATCCCACATTGAAAAGGGAAAATAGACTATGAATAAGTGAATTTCTGCAATAGCAAAAATATGAGTGAATCTGATGAAGATGCAGAGTTGGACCCAAGAATACAGATTGAATTGGAAAAGTTGAACACAACCACTGACGAGATAAATAAACTGGAAATTGAATACGATGTAAGTTTTTATTATTTGTATATAGATTTAGTCTAATCTTGAAATTCAAGGAGGAAAATAAGACATTTCGTATGCTTCTAAATGAGTGTACTCGGCGGTTGAAACTGTTATCAAAAAGGCTTGGATCTTGCATAGAGAAAGCGCGTCCATATTATGAATTATGGGAAGAAGCAAAAAAAGCCCAACAGGAATGTCAAGAGGCAGCTGCTTTGTATAAAAAAGCTCATGGTAATTATATTCAATTTTTCACGAATATCATAAATATCCTTTTTATTTGAAGGTATTCATGCAGCAGCTAAAGAAACGGTAGCTTTAGCAGAGCAAAGATTTTTATCGAATCAACATGAATGGCAATTTGATAACGCATGGCAAGAAATGCTCAATCATGCAACTATGAAGGTAAGTTTGTTTTGCTAGCACGGCAAAATGATTTGTTGGATTAATGTTCTATTATTGACCTACTAATTTTCTTGAAGATGACAAATAATCCAACTATGCATTTTTTTATTCGCTTGCAGTCATTACATGAATGCTAAGCTAATTGAGGGAACCAACTTGGAATTTATATAAGGAAATTTCTAAATGAAATAAAAAGGTAAATATAGGGTGAAATCAAAAGTCTAATAAACTTGAGTGAATTGAAATTAATCATTAATAGTTTGGACAATAAATGCAACTCTGATGTTCTCAACAACAAAATTTTGAAAAGTATTTTTCAGGTTACGGGACATGTCTTACTGAATTTCATAAATACATCCTTAGCAACTTGTAAAATAACGCTTCAACTAAAAATGAGTACCATAGTCCCAGTACCAAAAAGCAATATAATTCATGACTCTAGTAACTATCGTTCTATAAATACTCTACCACCCTTGGAAAAAATATTAGTTTAGCAAATATATTAATGATAATAATTCACTAATAGACAACCAATCAGGTTTTAGATCAAATCATTCTTGTGAGACTGCTTTGCAACTGACAATAACAAAGTGGAAGTCTTTGATAGAGGAAAATAAACTTATAGTTGCAGTGTTCTTGGACTTTAAATGAGCTTTTGAAATAATTGATATCGATAACCTGTTGATTAAACTGCAGTGTTATAGAATTCATGGGACAGTTCTAAAATGGTTTGATAATTACCTGAAAGGTCGTTGTCAAATAACTAAGGTGAATGATGTAATCTCCAGTAAAAAAATATAACCACTGGCGTTCCCCGGGGCAGTGTCCTAGGACCCTTGCTATTCATTCTTTATTTGAATGATATCAATTTTGTTCAAGACCATGAGTTCATTAATTTGTTTGCTGATGATACTCTCGTAGCTGTCAACAGTCTGAACCTGGATGAGGCCATAGAGAAAACGCACAGACGTTGGGAAATTATCACTAATTTTTTGAATATTGATAATCTTAAACTAAATACTCTCAAAACCAAGGCCATGATAATACAAAATACAAATATAGCCAAATCAACATAAATATATCAATATATAATGAAAATATTGAAATAGTGCAAGAAATGAAATATCGTGGCTTCAAAATAGATAATTTTATCACTTTCAAAAGCCATTTCAAATACGTTTATAGCAAAATAAGTAAAAAAAGTATTATTTCTTTCACGAATACATCAACAATTATCTTTTTCTGCATCTATAATGGTCTATAAAACTATAATCCAACAGTGAATATTGTCCAAGTTTACTGTCATTACTAGATTCTATCAGTATTCTGCATCATAAAAATTGCAAAATAGAGCAATACAAATCATTCTCAAATGCAATATGTCCACTCTTATTGATACAATGTTAGTTGTACTGAATTGGAATCCATTAAAAACCCGATTATATTATCTTTCAATGATTTTTATTTATAAAATGTTGAAAGGACAGTTACCTTCATATTTCAATCAATTTATCACATTCAACAGTCAAATTCACAATTACCAGACCAAAGGAAGTTAAAACTTTCATGTAAATAGAACCAACTACAAAAAAACTATGAATTTTTTATTTCACAAAGGATTGATTCAGTATAATTATCTACCCATTCATATCAAGGATAGTGCAACACTGAGTTCATTCGATTGCAATCTTCCATGGTACATCAAAAAAAAATGATCTTCATCTTATACAGCGTGACTCACGGTCGATGGTAGGTTAGACGTTTCTGGAAAACACAAAGCATAATTTTTCTGAAAATTTCACCACTCACATTTCCTTACCTGTTCTATCGATCTAAAATATTTTCAGCATTGCGGCGTTGCCACTTCCATTAAAAGTTCCTACCAACTTTATTTTTTTAAATGGAACACCCCGTATATTAATACATTTTTGGGATCGCTCTGGTATTTTAATACTTTTTTGTTAATAATGTACTATACCTATCTCTATCTGTTTTCGAGATAAAAAATAAATTGTGCTAAATATGGTCCAAAACATATTTATAAAACAGCATTTTGCGATATTCAACTGTAAATTATTCTCGGAGCACCATGTAACCAATCTATCAAGGTCATCTTGCATTAGTGTTGAATCATATAGTGATCTTATTGGCATGAAAACTTTGAGATCATCTGCGAATATCAAAAAATCAGTATGATGGAAACATTCAACAATGTCGTTAATAAAGATATTGAATAACATAGGAGCGCAATGAAAACCCTGAGGTACCCCTGATGGCACCTGAATTATAACCGATGTAACGCCTCCAACTTTAACTTGTTGGGTTCGATTACATAAGAAACTTCTGAACCATGTTACAGCTGAGTCAGAAAATTCAAGTATCTTTAATTTTTTCAATAAGATATTGTGGTCTACTTGATCAAAAACTTTTGAAAAATCCGTGTACACTGTATCGATTTGCCCTTTACTTTCCAAAACATCCAATATTTTGTGTTTAAAAATCATCAAGTTGGTAATAGTAGATTTATATTGTGAGAATCCATGTTGATTATTTATTAAACGTTACTTACAATAAAATTTTAACTAATCACTAACTAATGAATCAAAAATTTTTGCAAGTGAAGTGATAAATAAATATACGAGGTTTGTTCAAAATTTAGATGGTTTTTTATTTTACCAAAATATAAATTTATTCATGGATTTCTATTTTGTCTACTCCAAAAAGAAGTCCCCCTCAGATATCATACATTTTTTCCAGCGTTTTTCCAATCCTCGAACTCTCTCAGCGATTTGGTGTTCATCTCCTTATTGACCGTTCAACCACAGTATACTTGTATACAGTAATCCCACTTCGGGTGGGAATAGGCTCTACAGATTCCTAAATCATGAGTGATGAATTCGATTAGGAATATTTTTAATAATTGGCCCTTAATATAATCGAATCGGCAAACTCGCCGCCATCTTGAATTCTCAAATCAATAAATGAATATGCTATATTTGGCCCTAAAAATCACTACAAAGAAATTTCGCATGGATTCGTACCATGGTTCATGAATGAAACTCGTTATTCATCTTGTCTTTTTTCTTGTTGAAATGAAAATATATTTTGTCACATCCGAATACGAACATTTGCCGATCCCATGAATTTTTAAAATCTACTTGAAACATAGTTCATCATTGTCCAAATGATCTGGGTTACTTGAATATTACACAAATGTACAATTTTCTAAGGTGCCCAACATGGTTTTCATGAACTGTATTTTTTTGAGCAGTTTATATGAATAGTTGTTATGTTGAGCAGTGTTTAGCCGCTTTGGTTGAGATTGTAGTAGGGAGAAATGTCATTAGTGTCAAATACGTCATTGTATAAACTGAAACTCCTTTGGTTTTATGTCATAACCATATACCCATGATTCGTTAGCAGTTATGACCCTTTTAAGCAAATCTGGATCGTCGTTGACGTCATTTAACAATTCTTGAGCAACGCTCATGCGACGGGTTTTTTGGTCAAAATTCAGCAATTTTGTAACGAACTTCACTGCCACCCTTCACGCCTAAAATTTTCGAAAAAATTGCATGGCATAAGCCAACCGATATGCCGACATCAATATTTTTCTTACTCTGATTACAATCACGGTATGCCACTGTCAACATTGTAAGTATTCTTGAGCACTTGATTCCATTTTTTACACTGAATTTGATCAAAATTCTTTGACCCATTCATAGTAGCAGAAAATCGCCGAACACGCAAAACACTTCTAACTTTTATGCCTCTCACTAATTGTTACAAATTATATACTTGAAGCGTCCAAAAATATCACATTCCGAATAGAAACTATTATAAATTTTACAGATGTTATAAATTGGAGATTTTATTGACACGTTGATCCTAGGCAAAGGCAAATAGAAAAAAAATTCGTTTCTACTATTTCGTCTCGGTACGTGAAAATTTAGTTGAGATAACAAATCAGGGCAGTCAACCAGATTATGAATCAATTTATATATGAAGATACAGGCATATGTTCTTCTGTTTTATAAGGATAAGAGGGCAAATCTATTTAGCAACACTCTATTATCAATTCCGTGGGATGGGTAGGCTCCATCCAGTTTGTAAGCCATGTATTTCATAAAGATTCTTTGACAAGATTCGAGTTGCTGTATATGCACATTGTATATACGTGACCAGATTAGGGAGTCATATTCCAGACGAGATCGGACATATGCATTAAAAAGTGTTATGAAACATTCTTCGTTTTGAAAGTCTCTACACGTCCTGAAGATAAGGCCAAGCATTTTTTTTGCAGAGGATGTGATTTGATTAATTTGTGACGTGAAGCTAAGTTTCTTATCGAATATGATACCTAGATCTTTAGTTTCTGTGCTTTGATCTAAAGTGACATCATTTATTGCATAGTCAAACTGTATATTGTTGTGCTTAAGGGTGTATTTCATAAATTTACACTTTTGAATATTCAGTTAGTATGCACCATTCATGTATCGAATTAACGTCCTTTTGCAGAATAAGAGTCCTCGGTTGATTCAATGGGTCTGAAAATCTTCCAAGTCATCAGCAAAGAGTAATATGTTACTAGATATATTTGAAACAATATCATTTATGAACAAATAAAATAGAAGAGGAGCTAGATTACTTCCTTGAGGAGCACCACTAGTTGAAGTGAATTCTTTTGATTTGTGTCCTTTGTATTCTACAAATAGCGTACGATTCTGAAGATACAACTGTAGTAAATTCAACAGTTGACTATCGAAACCAATAGAAAAAAGTTTATTCAGTAGAATTTGATGGTTCAATTTATCAAAGGCCTTTGAGAAGTCTGTATAGATTGTATCCACTTGTAGCTGTTTATCTAACGCAGTGCTGATCGTTTGTGTAAAACACATGAGATTAGTTATTGTTGAACGTTTATTGATGAAACCAAGCTGATATAAAGTTATACTATTTGTTGTTATACAGCTATATATGTTGTTATACAACTATATGTTGTTATACAGACACATCTCAAAGACCTTTGCAAAGTTGGACAGAATTGATATGGGTCGATAGTTCAGAATGTTATTTTGGAAAGATTGCAATGTATGTGGCAGTCTATGATTTCCATAAATATTACCGAAAACATTAAGAATTATATAGAAACGAAAAACTCACTATTACTCTGAAATATTCAACTTGTTTCATTTCAACTCTCTGTTAATGTTTATGAGTTCCCCATGTGGAGACTCGAATTTAAATAGCTCTACATAAATGTATATTTCGGTAGCCAAGCGGTTCGGCGTGGGTGCTTTGTTCACTCACTCGAATTGACTGCCGTGTTGGTCGGTGGTTCAAGCCCTAGTCTGAACGATCGATCTTCACTTGCTACCGTCCAACCCGTGTTAGGAATCACACGTTAAAAGGTAAGACCTCGTTAATCCTCAGCTCGCACAAGTTTCGACTTCTGAGGGTTGTCGTTCGTAGGGTGCGACAGCTGGTTAACGGAAAAACAGATTTTAAACAGAAACCAAATGTAACATTAAGTTCACATCCCTTCATGTACTGTTTTAATTTTCTGAAGTTTGATCTGAAATATAATTTCAGGTTATGGAGGCAGAAAATCAAAAAGCGGAATGTGGCAGGGACCATCAGAGGAAAGCCTTGATATTCAAGGAAATTGAAGAAAAACTGAAACAACAAGAAGACAAACTTCAAAAATTCATAGTCAAATCACGACCTTATTTTGATGAAAAATCTCTTTGTCAAGAACAACTTAGCACTCAAAAAAGTCGAATTGGTACAATAAAACAGGAAATTAGCAAGTCCAAAAACTTTTATGCTCAGACTCTGAAAAACTTGGAGCAAATATCAAATGAAATTCACTTGAAAAGACAGGGAAGAAAGCACGATAATGATTTGCTTAAACGTCCAAGAGAACCTGGAGTTGGTGCCGAGCTCAATTACGCCTTTGAAGAAACGTCTCTCGCAAAAAAGTACAGGTCTCTTCCCGATATCAGTTCAGAATTGGATAAGTATGACGCTTGCAGTGAAAACTCTGCTAGCATTGTTACAAGCTCAGCTGTAAGCGAAAGAGATGAGGATGAATTTGTAGACGAGGTTGAAGAGGTTAGCAAGAAATTGAATAATTTGGATGTTAGGCCCGTGGAAGGAAAAAGTGAGAGTGTATTTGTTTCAGAATTTCATCTAGGAGCCTTATCAAACATAGAAAAATAAAACAGTTCAGAATTGTTCATCGATCATTTTCAGTGCCGCGGAGAGATCTAAAAAGATATGAATAGTGAAACTAAACATACATTTGTATTTAATTTTCAACAACAAACTTATGATTAATACTCATCTTGTTAAAAATTGACTTCAACTTGAGTTATTCTTTTTGTGATAACGCAGTTTATAAGTGAAACAAAATGAAATTTTGAAAAATATTTATTTCCAGGCAATGCACTTGATGAAAATTATTAGGTTTATAGATTACAATAAAACATCCACTTGATGTAAATAGTACGTTTTATTTACAAATATTTTTTTTAAATATTTAAATGAAATGTATGTTTCTTCTGTAGTACAATAAATAAAAAGTTCAATAGTAAACGATGACAACATTGTAAAAACTGCCCCCATATCTGTAAAAATTGAGGAGTCCATAAGAAATGAAAAATTTAGTCAAAGTGATTTTGGAAGTTCTAGTTAACAGCCTTTTCCGTTTCATGAAAAACATTGACTATCTTTCATTATTAGGATCAAATTATAATAAGAAATAGATTATCATATAGTTTGTATTAGAGATGAAACGGATATCCGGTAACTATCCAATATCCGGCGGTCTGATTAATACTATCCGGCCGAATACTGGATAACTAGCGGCTATCAGGCCAAATACCGAATTAAAAAAATATCGGGTGGTTATTTGCTTCATTTAGTTAGTATCACTTGAAAAATATAATCAGTAATCACACAATAATTCTACAACTTAGAAAATGATTAGAACTCATACTACACTAAGTGCAAATTATGGTGAACGAATACTAACTCCTCTGCATTAAGAGGTAGCAAGCGGTTTCGCTTGCCTTCGTAAATAAGGCCAGCTTCAGAAAAAAGTCTTTCGCTGTACACACTGCTGCAGTAAGTTGATGAATGAAACAATCATTACCTTTACTTATCAATGAAAAATCCTGAATTAGATCACCTTATCGTTCGCGCGCCACTCACCAAGCATGCTTCTTGTAATGCACCAAATGGTAACGTTCTGCCGGATATTCGGCGGCCGAAAACTCGGCTGCAAGGTTGGACGAATATCGGGTATGCGGCTAAACTGTTATCCGTTTCATCTCTAGTTTGTATCATTCATCCCAAAAATCATTCGTTGGGATCCTTGCAACATCTCGGCTTTTGGAATTCATCATTCAGTAGCTTTAGCAATCTTTTTGAATTTTACCAACTTCTTTGTTTACACTTTTCAGCTGATATTAAAAAAAAATTAGACAAAGTATTAGGTAATATTGCTGATACACCATGGTCTTTGTTTCTCAAAGAGTATCCAACGATAAAGTGGTTAATTGATTAACTAAGCCTGACAACTGGTTGATTTTTCTGTATTATATTCAGAAGGCAGATTTTATCAATGTAAAAATAACTACTTACACAACCTTATTTGAAAGTGAGCAAATTAAAGCAAATCAATTTCTCTTTATTCATGAATTTCATCTTGCTTGAAATAAATTATTCCGATTAAATCCAGGGGGAGTAGTGGTGATAAAAAACTAATCAAGTTGCATGTAAATTCTTTGTTGTGTAAAAATACCAGAACCTAAATTTTGACGACATTATTTACATGACTAGTATAGATTAATTTTCGTTTCATTTTCAATAAACATCCATGCTTTATTCATTATGTGAGCACAATTGTGGCCATTGTTGAAAATTGGAAATAACGCGAAATTATACGACATAATCTAACTTGGTATAAAAATTTACAGGAGTTTCATAAACTACACAGTAGCTTCTTCAACAGTGATTTCAAATCATTACTGTGTTAGCGAAACGTCGTGATATATTTTTCAAACAAAGTTTGTGGAGATCAAATCGTGAAGTGTAGTCAATGAAATTACTATGGATCGGCATAATCAATCAGAAAATTTACAGGAGATGATAATAATTAGGTGACGTCTCGAAGAGAGATGAATATCTGAGAAAACTAGTATTTAAATTAAAATTCTAAACACAAATTTCTTCTAGGTATCATACACAGTGGGAAGTAGCAAATATTCGTCTGAAAACATTGTCTTTCTTGTCTAATACCCCGACGAATATTTCATTTTCAGATGATGGTTGCAGATGAGCATCTGCAACCACCTGAAGCTGGTGAGCCATCTGATTTGTCCATTTCCTCTCAAGTTTCCGGAATACACTGCAGCCTCATGGGATAATTGCATTTTCCACCCATCTTTTTCATGAAACCCATTCCAACAATCTTGTTCCCTGTACAAGTCTGTAAAGGTATCTTGCCTGATGCCATGCCATATTCTTCTGGACATAATTTATGAATTGTTTGCCTCTTATGATCCAAATCACTGCAAACAATGTGACATGCTGTCTTTGTCCCTTTGTTGCATTGCCTGCAGCTAAGGTCTTAGTTGACCTGCCATATTATGTTCAAGTGTTTCCTTATTGTGTCAGACATGACAAATTATCAGCGTCATCTTCCAAAAAAGAAATTCCAAAAATCCAAGGCTTTCAAACTCGAAGAGCAATGAAACTGAAAACCTCAGCCGTGAAAGTCTAAACCATTTTGTCAAAAACTTCTACGGTGGTGTTGCCTTCAATGGATTTCAAGTTTTTTGCAAAACAGAACAGAAACATAAATGTAATGATGGGTTATTAACAAAAAAATTCAGAAAAACTCAAACTCGAAATGGGAGTGACGCAGGGATCAATTTTAGGTCCTACCTTCTTTATACTCTATGTTAATGATATAGATAATATTTTATGAAATGAAATGTACACAGCATACACTGAAGATTTTATGTTAATTCAGCAAATTTAGGTGATTATGATCTAGAAGATAACTCAAAGTATATATGAATGAATTAATTGCCTACTATAATGGTAATGACTTACATTTCAACTAGTCTAAAACACAACGCAAGGTTTTATACTAGCCAGNGAATGCGAATGAATTTGCTTGTCAATTCCCTTCACAATTATTTCCTTCCCGAGTTAACTAACGAATGAGCTCATGCCGCATCGGCATCTCTTAGAAGCTGAACTAAGTTGTTGGTAAAGCAGAAAAATAATTAATATGATACTAAAATTACTAAAATCTTTTTAACACACATACTAAATGAGAGTTCCCAAACAGTTTTTAAGTGAGGCTATATTTGTATTGAAAGATCACTTCAAGAAATATAAATTTTCATTATATATAGGTATTTCAAATTCAATAAATTCCATGATTTGCTGATTCCTTCCTTAATTTTGTTTATATGAAACAATTAACTAGATATGAAACAATTTACTAGAATCTTTGAACTAGTTCAGTCTCAGTTTTTGCTCATCTTTTATCACATTTTCTAGGCTGAAATAAATATTTTCTTAATGTTTTCCAAATCAGTAATTTCCTTGGGCCACTAGACACCTGGCTTCTAATTTTTTCATGAAACTATATTAATGTAGTCTAGAAGTAGTAACAATTATTTATGTTGCAAAGGAAACATAAAAAGTTCACCTTGTCAGAATTGACCTAATCAAAAACTCTTCTGCACACACTTCCATTATTTCAATGGACTCACCGATTTCCTGTATAAGAAACCCTTTGTGAGATTTTCATTAGACAGTTTTACAAAAATGCAACACGTCTTTCGCTATACAATAGCTTCTGTACAGGCACGCCTGAAACAGCTATTGTATTGCGGAACACGTGTTACATTTTTGTACAACTGTTTAGTAAAACTCCCATAATAACATGTATAGACATGCCTGAGGAAGCTATACAATAACTTATTCTGGCATGTCATACATTAAACAGTTTTACAAAAACTTAATACGTGTTTCGATATACAATAGCTTCTTCAGGAGTGTCTATATACATCATTGTGAGATTTTCACTAAACAGTTTCACGAAAATGCAACACGTGTTTCGCTATACAACAGCTTCTTCAGGCGTGTCTATACACATTATTGTGAGATTTTCACTAAAAACTTTTACAAAAATGCAACACGTGTTTCGCTATACAATAGCTTTTATATAGACACGCCCGAAGAAGCTATTGTATAACGAAACACGTGTTAGGTTTTTGTAAACCTGTTGAATAAAAATCTCACATTAAAGTGTTTTTTGAATACGTTATGGATTTTCATCAAGAATCGGCCGATTCCAGTATATACACCAAGTTTTTTGACTTATGTTCGAAAGTACATAAAATATTTATCTTGCCTTTTATTCCAAACTTGAAAGTGTCAGCCAGATATATACGCCAAAAAACTCCATTTGTTCAAGCACCATCAGAGATGAGTCGAAATACATGAAATGCGTGAATGATTCGAAACAAGCACCGCTCCCAAACACGAGAACTGCAACACTCTTCTCGACACGCATTTCACCAACCAAGTTGGCGTTTTCAGGAAATGAAGTATCACAGTTATGATATTTGGGTGCAGTGCTCGTTTTCAATCTACTATAAGCACACAGTGAGCTTCGACGTGGTGTTCTTATACACAATGGTTCCGATCAAGGACACAATATGGCTAATTAGTGAATACGGATTTTCAACACATTCAAGTCCTCAGGTTCCAACACATAAAAACTGATGAAGGTTCAATTACTAACTTGAGTGTAAATTTAGTAGATTCATTTTGAATTATCAAAAAAAAATTACTGCTCAAAATGGTGTTCAGGTACACAAATGCTATCCTCATTCAATTTCTTGACAGTGCTCTTTGCTTTTTAAATCAATAAAAGAGTGCTCTCCTTACCTTTATTTTTCATATATTTGGGATGTTGAATATCACAAAGACAGAAATTTACCCACAGGAAAAATGGCTAAAAATAAAAAAAAGACAGCTCTGTATAATTTGCTTGGATGTTTTTTGAAATGATACGTTTGAGAAGATTTTTTTTCCACTACAAATTTGAATAAAGATATATCAAATCCATTATCAACTTGATAGAGAAAGATAATGAATATTACTAATTATTTTTATTCCTTATAGGAAACTTGTTCTCAGTGAACTTTAGGTTCAAAGAATCTAGTGTTTTCAGAGATTCCGTAGGACTTGAAACATCACTTGAAGTACTTTTCCTGTCCATAGCACCAGGAGATCTAACACCATCTTCCAAACTAGACAGACACTCATGTCTCTTCCCTTCCAAAATTTTTTTTGGCTGTTCATATAATACATCAAACGACACTTCTAGGAACAGCTCGTGTATCACACGGCGTNTTTTCCCGTTAAACTGCAAAACTTGTGCATTTCACTCGTTATTATAAAAAAGTTTTCTTAAG